TCTGGACCAGACCAGACTAGGTATGAAAATATGACCAGTATGTAAGGATTAAATGCAGCACAGTGTCTCTGTGTTCAGATCTGGTTTGATTGTTAGGGGTTGTGAAGGATCCCAAACATCCTGCACACCTTCCAAAACCATTTGGCATTTTATGAGGCTGTGATCCCGGGACCCTCATAAAATCTAATTGATCGATTGAACTTTATCGTGTGCAATGTTTGGTTCTTTCCCAATCGCAGTTTATGATCAAATCTATCTTTCAAATAGACTTTCTGGATTGTTTCCTCTTGGGTACTGACTAGTAAGAGCTTCTGAGGCCTCTATTTTTCTATACAACCAGAATGAAAGTGATTTTCTTCATATATTCTTCACATTTAACTAATAATACTCGTGAGTTTGGGGGGTTTGTTGGGGGAGGGGTTACCAGGATGTCCTTCAAGGTGCAAGTTAAACAAACTAATACTGCTTTCCTATATGTGTGGAATATTATTAAAATTAGAAACATCTGGTCAGAGTGTCAGAGTCAAATGTTTAGACTGAGACATTTTACTGTTTCATCAAAGATATTAGCTCATTTTGAAATTGATGGCAGCAACACATCTCAAAAAAATGAGATGGGGCAACAAAAGGCTGGAAATCTAAGTGGTACTAAAAAGAAATAACTGGATGAACATTTTGCAACTAAACAGTTTAACTGTTAACAAGTATTATGTATTATAGTAAGAGCATAGCTTACTTACCTTGCATCTCATTGAGACGATTCACTTTTGCTTTCAGCCCTTTGCGAAGATCATTTATCTCTTTGTCCAGCTGCTCCTGGTCTACACACCACAACAAACATCAAAAGAGTTTAGGGTGATGTGTTCTTAATAAAACTGCACATGTAAGAGTCAATGAGTTGAAATGTTTTACCTTTCTGAATCATCTCTCTTGTCTTGGATTTGGGGAATTTGATAAACATGCTTCCCAAGCAAACCTTGACTTTCTCTGCAAATGTGAGCAGTGTTTTATGTCATTCATTGCATAAACACACATAGAATAAACTTTACACCTGGCTTTCCTATCACTGTGAGGTTTTGTGTTTTTAACAGCTTCTGTTGTTTGACTCTTATAGTGGCACAGCTGCTGGGAGAGGCTGCTCACCTGAATCTGCCACATCATGTTTCAGGGCATTGAGTGCCTCCCTGTTCCTGTTTCTCTTTGTGTCCAGCTCCACAATCTAGAACAACAGACGGTATTAGTTAGCAACATATATATATATATATTACAAAAAATGTGTTTTTCTCTCATCCATGAGCTGACAACTTAGCTAGCTAGCTTAGCAGCTAACGTCACTAGCTACGTTAGCATACCTGTATAACGTACATAACAATCCTCCTGTGTGAACGTCCTCAGCTCAGTATTTACTTACCTGCTGTTTAGTGGTGAGAACATCTTCAGCTGCCTCTTCGACTTCTGTCAAATACTCCAAAACACGCTGGGACACCTCGTCCATGGTTGCAGTGCCGCTTCCAAAATATGTCCGGTGTGAAACAACAGCTGAACACTACAAGGTCCGCTCGGAAACTGGCCGCAAATGTTTCTGTCATTTCCAGCCGTTTCACGAGAACGTTCATTTCTACATTTCAGTTGAAAGACGTGGCTCGTTCTGCAGCACATCTCATGTGTAGAAATGTTATGTGCAAGAGTTGATTTCAGTAACTGTACTTGTGCAATGCGAGAAATGATTTGATTTGATGATGATTTCGCCTCTTTGTACTTCTTTACCTGCTTGGTAAAATCATCTCACGCGTATACTCTCTAAAGCTGCAGGGAGACCGATAAACAGAAATATTTTAATATTTAAACACTAAATTTAGAGACACTTTTGAGTACATTTCTCTGTCTGTTGGTCAGTTTTGGAGCCACCCCTGTAGACTCTGGGCTTCGCATTTGTATTTTTTTCTCTCAGTAAGTAGATAAGTTGCCTCACAGGATACAGCAGAACTATATACCCTATTACCATTGTTACTCTGCTGCAGAATAACTTGAACTGTACGAAACACAAAAATCTCCCTGTCCATAAACGCAGACTAGAGAGGGAGAGGGGATTCACTGCATTTCAAACAGAGGGACAAAGAGCTCGTGTCTGTTTTAATAACTTTGAGGAGATTTAATATGTGATCACCTCAGACTGTGCATGACAGACAGACATAGTCTTTGGCTTGATTCAAGCCGTGTGCACACTGGAATTGATTCGCTCATCTCGCATCACTTTGAGGCTGACAGCTGGTTGCTTCCAGTCATTCCAGGCTCTTCCATATTTATTGCCAGGTCATATGTCAGCCAGTGTCATTCTTAACTCACTTGAACGTTGTGAAGAGTTTGCCACGAGTCCTATCCAGTTCAGTTCTAAGTAACCACTCATGAAACAAAGTTTGAGACCTGAGATAACTTTTTTCAACCTCACGGCCAACAAAACTAGCAAGAGGCTGACCTTTCTTCCTTTTTTTCCTTAATCCACAGCGACTGTCTCAGTGGGAAAAGTTGTTTTTAAGTCTAAGTTTTTTAAGTATTTCAGCTCACCTTATTTTTAACCATCATCACATCTTAGGGAACACTTTGGAAATGTGCCTTCCTCATCAGGCACAAATATCTCTTTCATCAGTCAGACTTTCCTCTGCTCTCTTCCTTTTCAGTGTTGCAGGCTCTTACTGTTGTCTCCACTTCACCTTGAGGTACATGTTTCCTCATATGGGGAAATGTCGCAGTATGCAGACTGCAGCAGCAAGCCAAGCATGTTGATTTAGATTGATTCAAATTGATGCTAAGAACAAAAATGATTTGTGCACGTTACCTTTTGTGCAAGGTAATAACGTTTAACATCCATACAACTGTAAGCCTTTCCACATCCAGAGGAAGCTAGCTCCATCTTTTCTGTACAGTCTATAGGCGTTACCGATTCTGTGTTGCACCAAAAGTGACTCGTCTTCAAAATATCTGATTCTGTTCCCACGTTATGGCCAGACTTGTGTTTTTGCATTTGATGTTTAATGATCTGAACACACATTTGTGTCACTTCCTTTCATAGATCAATCTGATCAGTTTATCCTTCAGTCTGATCCAGATTAGAAGAAATCCCTGTCATGATCTGACTGAGTCGCTGGTGTTTTGTGGGCGGAGCCTTGGTTCCTCACCTGTTCTGCCCACCTGCCATCCAGTCAGCGAGGCAATACTTAAGGCCAGCGCAATCATGCACTCTCTGCAGTTTTATCAGCTACCTCATGGAGGTAACCCAGCCTCGCTGCTTTGTAACTTTATGTCTGTTCTGTACTTACCTTGATTTAACTGTTTTCAGTTGCTCCACCACAACACTGCTTAAGTGACCTGCGGCTCAATTCTCACTACATCGCTACCTTCCTCTCGGAAACTAAACTTTTCTCCGCTCTCACCCTCCTGTCCTCCTGCCCGCCCTCACCCTCAGTTTCCTGGAAACATCACACGCTCACCACCTACAAGTAAGCCTGCGAGTCCAGTATTCACCTTTTCTCCCCGCTCAGCATCATACACCATCTTCACAAGACTGTTTGGTATTCTTTAATAACTTTTGGTGATGTTTGCTGCTTCAT